CAGACACCGGCTTAGCTCCCAGCGCCTCCTCATTTTCCTCAAGCCAATCCAAAGACAGCTCGAGCAGGGGAAAATAAATGCAAAACCAAAGCCAAATACCCCCGGGTGCACAAATCCTCAGCAATCAGGGATGCTGAAAGGACAGGAACCTGCACACGAAGCTGCATCTCGCCAATATCCTTAGGAAGAATGGGGTGAACAAGCATGCATTGAGGTGCTCCAACTCAGTCCCCAGGTAAACATGAATTACTGTAGCAGTTTCCTCACCATTCAAGTGTGCGGGTCTGACAAAACATATGCCATGTCCCTAAAGAAAAGAAAGGACAGTCTGCCAACTAGGATGAATCGTAACACACCCAATGAGGAAAAGTAGAACCGAACTCAAATGAGGAAGGCTCAATTATTGAAGCAAAATCTGGGTCATGCAAGAGGTAAGCCATAATGGCCTCACAAACCACCTCAGGCAGGATGCAGAAAGCCAAAAACCTCTGGAAGGAAGGGACTGAAGAACCCAAGGGAACCCGGAACGGAACCCGGGGAGGAGCAGAACTAATATCAAACTTATACAGGGAGGGGAGGATAAGAAAACTCCTCCCCCCTACAACAACAAGCACTGCATCAAGGGTACTAACCCAAATGGTGTCAAACCGGGCCCAAACCCTCTAAGTCAACTCCTACCCAGCCCTGGGATCCTCCATACCAGGACCTGGGGCAGAGTCATCCTTCAAACCCTCTGCCCCCAAAGAAATGGCAGACTCCATCATAAAAGCATGGAAAAGGGGAGCATGCTGGTCAGACCAAGACGCCTTGGATGGAGGAGCAGGCTCGAATGCCTCTGTCGCCAAACCAGATACGTCGGCCCCCGAAACTGCCACCATCTGCCACTGCCCCGATTCCGAAACCCTCAGACACTTGGGAGCCAGCAGCAAGGGGGTGGGGGGGGGGGGGGAGCACGACAAACCACAGCAGGGCAAGGACAAGGGAGCGCAGATAAAGCCAATGTCGAAGCGATTAACAAACCTAAATGCAGGTCCCTATATCCAAAGCGGGGCAGCCTCGGGGCATCTGGAAAGGCAGTCAATCTAGTGCATTGCAGCAACCTAAATTGTGCATGCAATGCCGATGCTGCCTGCACTTGATTATCAGTATCAGTGGACTGGGTGAATTGGGGAACCAACAAGGAACACCACTTGAAAGACTCTGGGTCAAAGGTGTCATTGACCCAACAGGCAGCATTACGGAGACAAAAACGGTGTGTGTCACCCTGAGAAAAGGGGACGGAACAAACTTCAAACTCGCACAAAGCGAGATGTGACCCAGAGGACACATCCATCGGACCAAAGAGCCCCAATGGGGTTTTCCAGGGGCCTTAGGCTGACTGCTAAGGGAAGCCCAGGCTGGCCCAAACTACTGAGAGAACAAGTAATGAGTAACAAAAGATCCCTACGGAGGTAATTCCTGAACGACTTGTGAAAGATAATCCCAAGCCGCAAGGGCAGTACTTACAGGACACCTAGGGAAGGTGGTCTTGGGTACATCCTGCCCCAGTACTCCGTGAATTACTCCTGGCTTGTACACCACGACACAGCAGAACAACACCACAAGATGCAACACTGCTCAGAGACATGACCGAGAGTCGAATGGCTGCCACATAACACATCAGCCTCAGAACTGGGGTTAGATGGCCAGCGCGAGGGTTTGGGGCTCTCCCTTTCCCCTCCTGGGAAGGGGGAAACTGTGCAGACAGCAGTTGTGATATCATGCTTGTTTGATTGTTTGCAGATTGTGGAGTCCTGTTGGATAGTTCGGCTTTCGGTATCAATTTTCAACAGGTGGAGTTTGCTTTTAGGATGCCTAAATTTCATGGTGCATAACCCGGTAGATATCACATGGAATGCTTAGTAGTGGAAAGTACGCCACAGAGGGGCCGTTTTGCTTTTTTCGATGGCCCCTCTATGGCGTACCCGTTTTTAGTTACCCCAGTGAGATTTGACAGTCCCTCTATGGCGTACCCGTTTTTAGTTACCCCGGTGAGATTTGACGGCCCCTCTATGGTGTACCCGTTTTTAGTTACCCCATTGCCTCTTGCACAGACATCGCTAATGGTTAATGACGTCACCAGGTAGCCGCTCAATGTCCTTGCACAGGTATAATCAAGAGGATTAAAAGGTCCTGACTTGGCGTACCCGTTTTTAGTTACCTCTGCTAGTGATTGCCTTATAGTTCATGAATCCATTCAGTCACACCTCCATCATGTCACCCCTATTTCTTCTTCACCTTTCTAGAGATTGTAAATTAAGCTTTGTCAATCTTTCTTCGGAGATTGCTTATTGAGCATATATCATCTTCGTCCTTTGAACATATAAAATTTTCGTTCAAGGGGATTAAAAGGCTGGCTTCTGGCATACCCAAATTTCGTTACCCCATGGACCCATGCACAGGCATTGCTAATGGATAAATGACGTCATCAGCTGGCCAGTCTTCATCTTCCCTGAATAAGTCAGTTTACTGAAATAGCATGTCCACCCAAGGATCGTTTATTGAGCATAGGAATGAAATCCATTCATATGAAACATAAAGGGAGCAGCACTGCAAGAAGTTATGTGTGTATTTTCAAGTTCGTCCCCTGCTACCTGTATTTACCCAGGTCTTTTCCAAAATCTAAAAAACCTATCCAATTTATTCCTGCTCTGTTTCATGTTTATACGTTTAATAGGTTACTAATATCCCCCTGGGGGTTTCTATAGGCCATTGCTCCTTGTGCCTCTCTGAGGGGACCAGGTTCTGGCTCGTGGTCCCCTTAGGCTAGAACTCCAATCAAACTGACTGATGCCACAGTCTAATACACACATAATCAGCCCGGTATAACTCCGGGAACCAGAGAGACTCTCCACAGAAAATTAAATAAATATAAATAAATAAATAAATAAATAAATAAATAAATAAATGTTTATTCAGGTAAGGTACATACATACAAGAGATTTTTACAAAAATTGCTAGGTTTATAGATAGAGCTGGTACATACAGTGCCTAAAGCCACATTACGCAAAGCGTTTCAGGCAGGAAAAACACTAAAGACTAAAACTTAATACTAATTGAGTTTAAAGTATAAAATATGTTGAGAATAAATAAAAATAAAAATAAGAAAGGGGGGAACATGGCTGAAAAAGCAGCACAAATATAATTAGGTCGACAAACAGCGGTGTTTAAAAAAAAAAAAAGACAGACATGGGTTGACAATACAGGGGTAAGGTAGGTTACAGGGAATTTATTAGGTAGTGTTTCGTTTTTATCTTAAATTGGTTGAGAGAGGTACAGTCTTTAACATGATTGGGAAGGACATTCCACATTCTGGGTCCCTTGATTTGTAGAGCATTTCTAGTTTGATTAAGTTGTACTCTTGGAATATCAAAACTGTATTTGTTTCTGGTGTGGTGCTACAACCTTCGTTGAAGCTTTTGAGGTCAGGATTGGCATTATAGTTCAGCATTTTATATATGTATAATACACATGAGAGAATGTGCAGTGACTTAATGTCTAACATATTCAGAGATTTGAGTAGGGGTACCGAGTGATGTCTGGGGCTAGAGTTGGATATTGTCCTAATAGCAGCTTTGTGTTGAGTAATTAGAGGATGTAAATGATTTTGGGTAGTAGAACCCCAAGCACAAATACCATAGTTGAGATATGGATAGATGAGGGAGTAATAGAGCATCACCAGGGCAGGGCGGGGTACATAATATCTGATGTTAGAAAGAATGCACACAGTTTTTGAAACTTTTTTTGATATATTTAGAATGTGTCCCTGGAAATTCACCTTGTGGTCAATGAGAATGCCAAGGAATTTGCCATCTATTTTGTTACAAATTTGGGTATTGTTTATCCTGACATTTATTTGATTAGAGGATTTATTGCCAAACAGAATATAGAAAGTTATATCAATGTTAAGGGTGAGTTTGTTGGCGGTTAGCCAAAGATGGACTTTATTTAGCTCAGTATTTACTGTGGCATTTAGAGCAAGGGGGTCAGGACTGGAATAAATGAAGGTTGTGTCGTCAGCAAATAGAATTGGTTTGAGGCGTTGGGAGGCATTTGGAAGGTCATTAATGTAGATGAGAAAGAGGAGAGGGCCAAGTATGCTGCCCTGAGGAACACCGATGTTGATGGGTAGGGTGGGAGAAATTGAATTATTCACAGAAACATACTTGAGCCTGTCAGTAAGGTAAGACTTGAGGTATTGTAGGGAGTGTCCTCTGACTCCATAATGATGTAATTTAAGAAGAAGGTTTTGGTGGTTGACAGTGTCAAAAGCCTTATGCAGGTCCACATATAACCCAACAGGAAACTCATTTTTATCAAGAGCTGTATGAATCAAGTTAATCATACTAATAAGTGCATCGTTAGTGGTTTTTTTTGGGTCTGAAGCCATATTGACAAGAGGTAAGTATATTGTGTTTGGTTAGATAAGAGTAAAGCTGCTTGTAGATTAGTTTTTCAAATATTTTTGACAAGTTAGGTAGGATTGATATAGGTCTGTAGTTGTTAACATCTGTGAGATCACCACATTTGTGGACAGGGGTTACTCTCGCTTTTTTTAGAATATCTGGAAAGGTTTGGAGTTCAAGTGACTTGTTGAAGAGCAATGCAATAGCAGGGGCTAAAGATCTAGAGGCTATTTTGTAAATTATAGTTGATATCTCCTCAAGTGCACCAGACTTGGTTTTAAGGGAAAGGATTATCTCATTAACGTCAGCGGAATTTGTAAGCTTTAGGTACAGAGATTGTGGATAGTTACCTGTAGGTTAATGTTTATTATCTTTTAATAACAAACACTGCAGGACTAAACATAAGAGCAGGAATAATATTTTACATCTCATTCATCTCTAAAAGAATAATATTTTATCTACTCACAAAATACATTATCGATTAATTACATCACACGTCACCTGTTAGTACAGAAATACATACCTTTCCTATAAATAAATATCCATTAACTGTACCTGTTTTTGCCTGGATGATCTACATCATGAACAACTGCAGCAATGAGACAAGCAGCAACATCCAGAGGATCCATCAGCTGTTTTAATCGTTCTTGATTAAGGAAGTATGCAGTTGATTGGAGGACATCAGAAGCATGTGTAGAGTTGTGGTAAGTGTTGTCAGTATGGTAGTTGGCCTCAATGAGTGTCAACCAATTTTGTAAAGTTTGCTCATCACAGCCCAGTGTATCTGGTACATCAAATCTACACAACAAACTCATACCAAGCCACACCAGCGGTCTGTTGGTGAAAGAATGATGAAATTATTTCACTTTCAAAAATATGTGCAGATATGACACTTTTGTTATGCTATAAATAATTGTGAAAAGCACAGAACAAAATTTGCTTGGTTACTGACTTCAATACTTATAATGATACATTACTAGCAATGTCCAAGCAAGGCGGACATCCTGCACACTCCCTTGTTGTTTACACTCTCTCTTGCATATGAAACGCAGCACATACAAATGGATGGTGCTGTTTGCAATGAACATGACATGTTCCATCAGTCACCGAGTTCTTTTTGCCTATCGGGGGACCATAAACCAGAACCTCGCCCCCCTCATAGAGGCGCAAGAAGCAGCAAAAACATGAACACCTTACATTTAAAGTTATCCATGTCTGCCATTACCAGGAAAGGCACCCAGAAAATCAGGAAAACAAAACAGACTACTGCATGGTTAGAACCAAGATGCAGCCTTGAAACTGCCAAAAGAACTGCCCCAACTATGAAAAAATCAGCCTTGAATGTAATGAAACACGATTTTTCTGGGCTAGCCCCAAAGGTTCCCCTTGAAGCAAATCGTCATCCAACTAGCACACCTGCTCAATAGTGCCCCCCATCCCCCCCCCCACCCAAGTCCACACAAGCGAGCGGGCAACCCACCACCACAGTTGAATGATGATAAAAAACCGACGACCAGAGAGAGAGGTGTCAGGGAGCCTCTGGGCCTAGCCCGGAAAACCACCATTGAATGTAATTAAACCCCATTTCTAGGTGAGCCCAGGAGGTTCCTGGAGTTATGGGACTGATACACACTATATTAGTCTAGGGCTTCAGTCAATGGAGTCCTGCCTACTGGAGACCAGAGCCGGAACCTGGCCCCCTCAAGTGACACAGGGAGCAATGGCTTAACCACTGTGCTGTGACAACCGAGAAAACTCGGTCGGTTGGAAACTGCGCCCACTGAGAAAACACCTTTTGAATACCTGGTACCCATTCAAAATGTGTGCGCAGTAGGTTGTATACGAAATGGACTCTTAGGACCTCCAGTGAGAGGCATCCATCTTGGAAAAAATTCCCAGTATGCCCTAGGGTTGCTGGCTGGGTTAGTACTGAGTGAGCAACCATGGGTGGCGCACGCACCTCAGACTCCAAAACACCTCCCAAAGAAAAAAAACGCATTCGACGTGGTATTGAAAGATCGCTCTCTGTCAGTGAAATTCAGACCTTATTATTTGAAGAACATAAGGGTCATGATATTGGTGAAGTTAGGCACAATAAGGACCTAACACAAAGGTCGGATGCAAGTGATACAGCATGTATGAGGACAATACAGCGAGCATATCCAGTTGTAGCTCTGAGCGCCACCTTTGCCCACCTACACCATCTCCAATTTATTTAGATGATACATAGATGAATCGTTTTCTGGGTTCAGTAATGATGCATCTGATACAAGTAGCATAGATGAACAGTGTTAGCGGCTTCCATGGTGGTGTTTTCCATAGATATTTTCAAGGATAGCTGACTCTCTTCCAGAATGCATGAATCTCTTCCAGAATGCCTGAATCTCTTCCAGAATGCCTGAATCTCTTCCGGATTGACTGACACTCTTCGATGTTGGCTGAATCTCTTCCAGTGTGGGACCTTACAAAGCGATCTTTTCAAGACTACCTTACAACCTGATCTTTTCCTATAATCTTTTCAAGTCCACCTTATGCTTTACAAGCTTGGCTACATACCACCAACAAGTACTAAAGCCAAGGGTGTAAGTGAGTACGTTATTTACAACCACACAGAACGAAGAAACAGGAAGCGAAAATCTATCCGTACATGGTGCAACAAGAGTGAAGTCGTGCTGTGTACCATGAACCACTTCATTGTTTATTACTCACTTCTGAAGTACTGTGTGTAATACAGTGTGTTACTGTGTAAATAGTGTGTGAAACTGTACATATTGTAATATTAGTGAATTTTTAACATGTAATATTGTGACAAACATTTATTGTGGACACATGTATCACAGTTCCATGGAACATTATGAACGTTCTGCTGTATACATATTGTAAATGACACAAATATGCATTATATACGATAAAAAAACACACAATAAAACCGCATTGAAAATACATGGAACAAATGTTCATGGAACATTACAACAAATGTTCCAAATACATGGAACAACAAATCAGAATAATAACTAACTCTGCTTTCAGACAACACTCAGCTCCCTTGTTTAAATCCCTAAACTTGCTAAATATTAACTCCCTCCACACATTCTCTTGTGTCAACTACATTTACAAAAACCCTGTTCTTAAATGCAAACCATGCTCTGAAACTCTCCCTGGACAGATGTAATAGGACCCATTATCACCACACCAGAAATAAATATCTCTTTGATATCCCCAGGGTCAAACTTCATCTGTGTAAACACTCTATGCAAATTAAGGGACCTAGTCTATGGAACTCACTCCCTAGTGAATTGAAAAACTGTAAAACTTTTGCCTTATTTAAAAGCAAAACCAAAAAGTGCCTAATTTCATCTTCTTAGTTTCCTACACTGAGCTTTAAATTTGCTCTGTACCTAGTGTTACCCAATCTCCTAATTTTTATGTAGTATCAAACAACCTTATCATTGTGTTCATTGCTGTCTTCTTTTATGTGATAGCCATATGCTGTATTGTGACTACCAATTTTTGTCAACTACCATTCAAGCTGTCATTGCAATCAATCTTATATTGTTTCTGCTGTATTGTGCCTACCAATTTGTTGTCAACTACCATTCAAGCTGTCATTGCAATCAATCTTAGCTACCTATGTGCTTTAATATACTGTACCTACAATTTTCTCTCATCTTTTTTTCATTCCATGTAACTGTTATCATTTTTTTTGTCTATAAATTTTGCAAGTATTTAACTACTTAAAATTTTCTTAGATTAAGGACCTGCCCGAAACGCTGCGCGTACTAGTGGCTTTACAAGACTGTAATTACCAAATTATGTATCCTCACATTCTCAATGTACCTTCTTGTATATGCATAAATAAATAAATAAATAATTTAAAATATATATGTGGCAACTCTCGGTGCTTGAATGGCTCGCGTGACCGTGTCTGGGAGCTTCACTCATGGGCAACCAGCCCCTTGATGATGTCACAGCTCACCTTGTCCACGTCCCCACAGCCAAAGTAAGTGGAATTTGGTATTTATTTTTACATAGACATGTTCAGGGAAGGGAATTCATCATTTTACAAACAAAAAAGAATTTTGGGGGAACACTTGATTTCATGCGCACAGGGGGAATGTCAAAATAAACTCGATGCATCACAGTGGTTAAGGAGACCCCCCCCCCCCTTGTATTTAGGGGTATTCCTTGTCTGCCATCGACCAGGGTTGGACACCCAGAAAGGTAGGCATCTGAAAACAAACCCCACATGGTAGAAATTGTAAAGAACCTAAGACCGAACAGAGAAATAGAACGCTCCAAAAGAAAACATAGGAAACCAGCAAACAAGCAATTGCCATTCACCGCCACCGCACAGCTTGTCCGCGCAGCCCTCCTAACCCCTTGAGGGGAAGGGGGTGCCCCAGACCCACACACACCGGCCCCCTTACACCTCATTTCACAGGCTGAGCATCAACAAACAAAACCTCCGACCTGAGGGAGGGTACCAGAGAGCCTTCAGCGCTCACCCACAAATAACATTTCATTGCATTCAACGCTGGTTTTCTGTGGGAAGCCCCTTCGGCTCCTTGGAGCTACATAACCACAGATACATAAAGAGGGACTTACCCGGGAGGGGCCACACCACGAGGATCAACTCTAGGACGAGACAACTGGCTGCAACGTGTGAACCAAAGCCACACACGAACGACTGGGACCAGGAACATTTACCAAATAATGGGCGGCCAGGATCCTGTTCGACCTCTAAAAGCCCTACACCCAAATGTCAGCCCAGGACGACATTATACGGCAGTCAAAGCAGCAAACTTACGAACGTTATGGGCACAAGGATAGACCACAGGTTGGCAAGACTTAATAATCATGTGGACGACCTGAGAGACCTGAGCCCTGGAACCAGGAAAGAAATCGGATCAGCCCTAAGTGCATCCACAGCCCCAGAGGCAGAGGCGCACAGGTAACGGAATAGAGTTGCAACCAGACTCAACACATGATGTACCACCTGCCAGACCAAACAAGCATCAATAAACCATGGACCCCTCCAGAAGCCTGCTGTCTCATTCTTCGCCAGAAATGAAGGAAACAGCTGCAACTGAACAAAACGTCCACCAGGACCAAAAGAGCAGAAACCTCTGTGCTGGAGGAGAGCATACAGCTCACTGACCTAACCCCCAGAGGCCAAAGCCAACAGAAACAGAGCTTTCTGGAAGTAACCTTGAACTGAAGGGGGCTACCATAAACCGAGAAGAAGATAGGAAAGAGAGAGAGAGTACTCTGTCCAAGGACCAGGATGGCTCAAGCGGTACATGAGTAGACCGAAGGTGAAACAAACTACGAGAAAGCTTTCTGAACACAAGCTGATGCGGCTGCACCAGTGCTGCACGATTCGAGGCAACAGTATTCAGCATAAGATGGTCCTGAAAGAGCTGAGAAAGAATGAAAGGACAAGACAACCTGAACGGAAATGGAAGTAAAATACGAGAGAGGAAATGGCAAAAAGACTGCCAAGACACCTCATACTGTTGCCGAGACGAAGACCTCAGGTGGGACACCATGATAAAGGCCACTTGATCATCATACAAGTGGTGATACATCCACGTCAAAAAGACCAGATGCGACGAGCGAAGGAGTAGATCGAACCACCACAGTACTGGACTGGCCCAATCTGCTGGAAGAGGTGGAGCCCTAGAAAATGCCTCGGGGTTCAGACACCAAGCAAGCAGCGCCTGAAACAGGCTGTAATACCATGGGTCTACAAGGACGACTCTCCCACGAGAAAACTCCCACCGAGCTGGATCCCAAAGTAACAGCTAGACTGGGGGAAAGGGGTGCAGGGAACC